AAAAAAAGATTTATTAATGGGACCACAAAGATGAAGAGCAACTAACCTGAGGAAAAAATCCAAAACAAAACCGAGGAGCAGGTAGAACAATATGGAATCAGGGAAGACAGACTGGTAACATGTTCATGGTCTCTTTGTTGCATTATTTTAATGATTACATTTCTAAGTTTTTAGACATCTTTTGTTAATGTTTCAATAAAAATGTTGATTCAATATAACAACTGTAACCAGGTGGTCATGTTGACCAATCAAAGCCTCCAAAGAAATGCAGCATTGAAGCAAGCGTCATCACAACCGTTTGGCACATGTGCCTTTGGTCTAACGACTGCTTTCTGGTTACTGCACAGAAACAGCCACATTTTCAGGCTCTTCTGTGTTGTCTCTTCTTCTTTTGGACGCTTTGTAAATATTTGTTTTAAATCTTTTCGGCCTCCATTGTTCAGGTTGACACAACAAGGAATCAGGGAAGACAGAATGGTGGCAAAAGAGGAAGTGACCAGAAAAAAGAGGAGGGTTAGAATAAAAAACAAAACAGGAAATGACAAGACCAAAGCAAAACAGACTGAAAACAGAACTAAGTGCCACTTTTTTTGTCGCATGGATGAGAAAACTGCTGCTCTGTGATGCCGGAATACATCCCAAAAATGACAAAAACAACAACTTAAACATCACTTTTATTTAGACACTCAGGAGTAAGGAAAGACGCACAGACGGTTGGTCATGCTGAGAGGGACACACATTTATTGATTTATTTGATTGGAGTTATTTGAAATCATTTCAAATCAGATTTATAGTGAGGTCATCGAGGCCTGACTGTTGGAAGGGGGAGTGGGGGGTGTCTGGACACATTTAGGCATTTTTGGCACAGATGAAAGCAGACCTTCTCTGGCAGGGTTCATCATTGACGTAACCACTTCCTGTAGAGAAGGTAAGAATAATAAAGAGTTAATGCTTAATTTCTCTACAGACAAGCTTTTTGTTTGCTTTTTTTCTTTCTCAATCTCATTTAAAATGTGACTTTCATTAGTAAAGCCTCAGAATTCAGTGAGTTGGTACCTGCATTCATGATCTCCATGCAGGGCTCTTTTTGGCCTCGATAGTTGTTGGGTTCCCCGCGACCCCAGGAGGTAAAAGTAAATGGTGAGCCGTCACTCCACATCCACACGTTATCCTGAGATAAAACATTTCACAAGCAAACGTCCCGGAGAGTGAATGCTAAAAAAAGACCTGAAAACTCCTCCTTTATCAGAATAAGGAAAGACATCTAATTCTCTGTAAATGAGCTCTATTCCAGCAGATATTACAGAGAGAAGTGGAAATATGTGTTCATGTGCTGGAAACAGCTTCACCATGCAGGGGACACCCTAATAGGAACCCTAATTCAGGATGTGCCTGGTCACCTGCACAGCGTCATGGCCTCCGATCCAGGTCCTCCTGCTGCGTCCTCCCTTCTGGATGATCAGCTTCTTCAGGAAGGTGAACTCATCGTTGGACTGAATGGAGGCCAGGTTCGCCTTCTGTGAAATGCAGAAACGCTACGAAGAGACACAAAGGGCAGAAACATGGAGATGAGCAGGGACCAAAGGGCCTTTCTGAGAGCCATGGAGGTCCCACTGAGTGGAAGCTGTCAGCCCCCCGGACTCCACCATCACCATGGTGATCTCCTGGTTATTAAGGATCTTCTTCACAGAGTTGTGTTGTCACC